CGCATGGTGCATAGCACGTACCAAGGTGACTTCTGACTCAACTCAAGAAGTAACATAGCGCATGGTGCATAGCACGTACCAAGGTGACTTCTGACTCAACTCAAGAAGTAACATAGCGCATGGTGCATAGCACGTACCAAGGTGACTTCTGACTCAACTCAAGAAGTAACATAGCGCATGGTGCATAGCACGTACCAAGGTGACTTCTGACTCAACTCAAGAAGTAACATAGCGCATGGTGCATAGCACGTACCAAGGTGACTTCTGACTCAACTCAAGAAGTAACATAGCGCATGGTGCATAGCACGTACCAAGGTGACTTCTCACTCAACTCAAGAAGTAACATAGCGCATGGTGCATAGCACGTACCAAGGTGACTTCTGACTCAACTCAAGAAGTAACATAGCGCATGGTGCATAGCACGTACCAAGGTGACTTCTGACTCAACTCAAGAAGTAACATAGCGCATGGTGCATAGCACGTACCAAGGTGACTTCTGACTCAACTCAAGAAGTAACATAGCGCATGGTGCATAGCACGTACCAAGGTGACTTCTGACTCAACTCAAGAAGTAACATAGCGCATGGTGCATAGCACGTACCAAGGTGACTTCTGACTCAACTCAAGAAGTAACATAGCGCATGGTGCATAGCACGTACCAAGGTGACTTCTGACTCAACTCAAGAAGTAACATAGCGCATGGTGCATAGCACGTACCAAGGTGACTTCTGACTCAACTCAAGAAGTAACATAGCGCATGGTGCATAGCACGTACCAAGGTGACTTCTGACTCAACTCAAGAAGTAACATAGCGCATGGTGCATAGCACGTACCAAGGTGACTTCTGACTCAACTCAAGAAGTAACATAGCGCATGGTGCATAGCACGTACCAAGGTGACTTCTGACTCAACTCAAGAAGTAACATAGCGCATGGTGCATAGCACGTACCAAGGTGACTTCTGACTCAACTCAAGAAGTAACATAGCGCATGGTGCATAGCACGTACCAAGGTGACTTCTGACTCAACTCAAGAAGTAACATAGCGCATGGTGCATAGCACGTACCAAGGTGACTTCTGACTCAACTCAAGAAGTAACATAGCGCATGGTGCATAGCACGTACCAAGGTGACTTCTGACTCAACTCAAGAAGTAACATAGCGCATGGTGCATAGCACGTACCAAGGTGACTTCTGACTCAACTCAAGAAGTAACATAGCGCATGGTGCATAGCACGTACCAAGGTGACTTCTGACTCAACTCAAGAAGTAACATAGCGCATGGTGCATAGCACGTACCAAGGTGACTTCTGACTCAACTCAAGAAGTAACATAGCGCATGGTGCATAGCACGTACCAAGGTGACTTCTGACTCAACTCAAGAAGTAACATAGCGCATGGTGCATAGCACGTACCAAGGTGACTTCTGACTCAACTCAAGAAGTAACATAGCGCATGGTGCATAGCACGTACCAAGGTGACTTCTGACTCAACTCAAGAAGTAACATAGCGCATGGTGCATAGCACGTACCAAGGTGACTTCTGACTCAACTCAAGAAGTAACATAGCGCATGGTGCATAGCACGTACCAAGGTGACTTCTGACTCAACTCAAGAAGTAACATAGCGCATGGTGCATAGCACGTACCAAGGTGACTTCTGACTCAACTCAAGAAGTAACATAGCGCATGGTGCATAGCACGTACCAAGGTGACTTCTGACTCAACTCAAGAAGTAACATAGCGCATGGTGCATAGCACGTACCAAGGTGACTTCTGACTCAACTCAAGAAGTAACATAGCGCATGGTGCATAGCACGTACCAAGGTGACTTCTGACTCAACTCAAGAAGTAACATAGCGCATGGTGCATAGCACGTACCAAGGTGACTTCTGACTCAACTCAAGAAGTAACATAGCGCATGGTGCATAGCACGTACCAAGGTGACTTCTCACTCAACTCAAGAAGTAACATAGCGCATGGTGCATAGCACGTACCAAGGTGACTTCTGACTCAACTCAAGAAGTAACATAGCGCATGGTGCATAGCACGTACCAAGGTGACTTCTGACTCAACTCAAGAAGTAACATAGCGCATGGTGCATAGCACGTACCAAGGTGACTTCTGACTCAACTCAAGAAGTAACATAGCGCATGGTGCATAGCACGTACCAAGGTGACTTCTGACTCAACTCAAGAAGTAACATAGCGCATGGTGCATAGCACGTACCAAGGTGACTTCTGACTCAACTCAAGAAGTAACATAGCGCATGGTGCATAGCACGTACCAAGGTGACTTCTGACTCAACTCAAGAAGTAACATAGCGCATGGTGCATAGCACGTACCAAGGTGACTTCTGACTCAACTCAAGAAGTAACATAGCGCATGGTGCATAGCACGTACCAAGGTGACTTCTGACTCAACTCAAGAAGTAACATAGCGCATGGTGCATAGCACGTACCAAGGTGACTTCTGACTCAACTCAAGAAGTAACATAGCGCATGGTGCATAGCACGTACCAAGGTGACTTCTGACTCAACTCAAGAAGTAACATAGCGCATGGTGCATAGCACGTACCAAGGTGACTTCTGACTCAACTCAAGAAGTAACATAGCGCATGGTGCATAGCACGTACCAAGGTGACTTCTGACTCAACTCAAGAAGTAACATAGCGCATGGTGCATAGCACGTACCAAGGTGACTTCTGACTCAACTCAAGAAGTAACATAGCGCATGGTGCATAGCACGTACCAAGGTGACTTCTGACTCAACTCAAGAAGTAACATAGCGCATGGTGCATAGCACGTACCAAGGTGACTTCTGACTCAACTCAAGAAGTAACATAGCGCATGGTGCATAGCACGTACCAAGGTGACTTCTGACTCAACTCAAGAAGTAACATAGCGCATGGTGCATAGCACGTACCAAGGTGACTTCTGACTCAACTCAAGAAGTAACATAGCGCATGGTGCATAGCACGTACCAAGGTGACTTCTGACTCAACTCAAGAAGTAACATAGCGCATGGTGCATAGCACGTACCAAGGTGACTTCTGACTCAACTCAAGAAGTAACATAGCGCATGGTGCATAGCACGTACCAAGGTGACTTCTGACTCAACTCAAGAAGTAACATAGCGCATGGTGCATAGCACGTACCAAGGTGACTTCTGACTCAACTCAAGAAGTAACATAGCGCATGGTGCATAGCACGTACCAAGGTGACTTCTGACTCAACTCAAGAAGTAACATAGCGCATGGTGCATAGCACGTACCAAGGTGACTTCTGACTCAACTCAAGAAGTAACATAGCGCATGGTGCATAGCACGTACCAAGGTGACTTCTGACTCAACTCAAGAAGTAACATAGCGCATGGTGCATAGCACGTACCAAGGTGACTTCTGACTCAACTCAAGAAGTAACATAGCGCATGGTGCATAGCACGTACCAAGGTGACTTCTGACTCAACTCAAGAAGTAACATAGCGCATGGTGCATAGCACGTACCAAGGTGACTTCTGACTCAACTCAAGAAGTAACATAGCGCATGGTGCATAGCACGTACCAAGGTGACTTCTGACTCAACTCAAGAAGTAACATAGCGCATGGTGCATAGCACGTACCAAGGTGACTTCTGACTCAACTCAAGAAGTAACATAGCGCATGGTGCATAGCACGTACCAAGGTGACTTCTGACTCAACTCAAGAAGTAACATAGCGCATGGTGCATAGCACGTACCAAGGTGACTTCTGACTCAACTCAAGAAGTAACATAGCGCATGGTGCATAGCACGTACCAAGGTGACTTCTGACTCAACTCAAGAAGTAACATAGCGCATGGTGCATAGCACGTACCAAGGTGACTTCTCACTCAACTCAAGAAGTAACATAGCGCATGGTGCATAGCACGTACCAAGGTGACTTCTGACTCAACTCAAGAAGTAACATAGCGCATGGTGCATAGCACGTACCAAGGTGACTTCTGACTCAACTCAAGAAGTAACATAGCGCATGGTGCATAGCACGTACCAAGGTGACTTTTGACTCAACTCAAGAAGTAACATAGCGCATGGTGCATAGCACGTACCAAGGTGACTTTTGACTCAACTCAAGAAGTAACATAGCGCATGGTGCATAGCATGCCTCGTTGCACCAAGGCCCAGGGGGTGGGAGCAGCACATGCAACACGACACAGACAACTACGATGGGAGCAACAGTCAAGTCATATGTATCAGTGCACCAAGGAGCGGCAGGCGGGCAGCAACACATGCAGGCGGACGACAGCAAATGCAGGCGGGCGGCAGCACATGCAGGCGGGCGGCAGCACATGCAGGCGGGCGGCAGCATATGCAGGCGCACACAGAGGAACAAACCACCCTGGCGGCAACTCATTTGCAACACAACACCTAACCTCTAGCCAACTGACATGTATCGCTGCTCAAAGGAGCGACCAGCAACTCATGTGCAATACACCTCAACCTCATGTGCAATACACCTCAACCTCATGTGCAATACACCTCAACCTCATGTGCAATAAACCTCAACCTCATGTGCAATACACCTCAACCTCATGTGCAATACACCTCAACCTCATGTGCAATACACCTCAACCTCATGTGCAATACACCTCAACCTCATGTGCAATACACCTCGACCTCATGTGCAATACACCTCAACCTCATGTGCAATACACCTCAACCTCATGTGCAATACACCTCAGCCTCATGTGTATCGTTGCATGAAGGTGCGGTAGGCAGGCAGCAGCAACATGACGATCTGGGGCATGCATGCATGAAGGCATTGCTCCTGAACGGCTTCAAAGGAGCTGTACATGCATGAAGGCATTGCTCCTGAACGGCTTCAAAGGAGCTGTACATGCATGAAGGCATTGCTCCTGAACGGCTTCAAAGGAGCTGTACATGCATGAAGGAATTGCTCCTGAAGCAAAGAGCTGTACATACAGACACGCACACCGATGACCAAACACACAGCAGCCTCTACCCAACTCACGTGCATCGCTGCAGAAAGGAGCGGTAGGCGGGCAACAGGTCCTTGGAAATCCTTTGCTGCAGGGCGGATTGCAGCTTGGGATCTGGGATCTTCCACATGCACTGCGTGCGATGCAGCTCCTCAAATGTGGCATTGAACACACGGAACCTGGAAAAGGGGGTGGGGAAGACGAGAGAGGGAGGGATGGGTGGGGGGGAAGGTGGGGGAAACGGGTCGGGGATCTTCCACACGCACTGCGTGCGATTGAGCTTCTGGGGGGGGAAGGGGGAAGGGGGAAAAGAGAGGTGAGATGAAAGGGGGAGAGCTAGGATGAGGCATGGATCTTCCACACGCATTGCGAGCGATGCAGCTCCTCAAACGTGACAATAACATGCGGAACCTGTAGGGGGAAGGGCGAAAAAGGGGAGACGGAGACGGAAGGGAGAGATGGGATGAGGTAACAATCTTCCACATGCACTGCGCGCAACGCATTGAACGCATCGAACCTGCAATGGGGAAAGGGGGAGGGTGAGAAGAGGAGAGGAGAGAGAGGTGAGCTGAAAGTGGGAATTTCCATGCAATAAATTATATGTGGCATTAACCCGGGGGGGAGAGGAGGTGAGAGGCGGAGGGAGAGAAGAGGGAGAGAGGAGGGACAGGAGACGGAGAGGAGAGGGAGAGGAGAGGGAGAGGAGAGGGAGAGGAGAGGGAGACGAGAGGGAGAAGGAGAGTGAAGGGAGACTGCCCACCTCACACACTCACCTCAGTCTCCCCCAACTGCCCAGCTCATACACACACGCCTCTGCTCCACTCCCCATCTCACTTCTCTTTGACAGTGTTGCGGCGCGCAATGCCCTCCATGCCCTCCTCTGATGGCCCTTCCGGCTTCAGTAGCTCAAAAATCTGGCGAGCGTAAGCGAGGGAGAGGGAGAGTTGCAACTTTTGAGACGCCTTGGATGTGCTGCACCTTACCAGAAAAATGCAGTGCCCAGGACAGGGGAAGTTGCGAGAAAACAGGATTGTGTTGATTCTGGCGAGGAGAGGAAGAGCCAGGTTCTGCCCTCTACCAGAAGAGGAGTCATGAACAGGATTGGTTTGGTTTTTGAGACGACTCAAAAACCTTAACCAGAGGAAGTATGCAGCAACCGTGTGAAGGAGATTGCGAATTTTGAGGCGCCTGAATGGTGATTCTTTTTACCAAAAAAAGTACACAAGCAGTGCCTGTGAGAGGGAATCATGTGAACAAAGGATTGTTGTATTGGTTGAAGCCCAACCAAGTGAGCTGAGCTGAGGTAAACCCAGGTAAAGTCATTGATACTTTAGGTTGGAATTTTTAATGATTACTGAAGGCCCAAATATTTGTGGTTGGGTCAACCAACACTAGTGGGGGTCCAACCATTGTTGGTTGGATTCTGACCAGCATTATTACAAGGCCAATGATTGTTGGAGACCCACCTAAGATCCAACCACAAATGTGGTTGGCGGGCACACCCAATAATCCCTCGATAGCTAGCAGTTACACCTCTTATTTTCGCCTAGAGCAGCTACACTTCTTGTTGTAGCCTATGTACGTTGTACAGAATAATTAAAACACAACCCACCATGCGCTACATTATTGCATAAAAGGTCCTATGTGTTGATGCAACCACATCGTTTGCACTCGGCTTGTTGTCCTTATGCGTGCATGTGTGTTTGCATTGAATCGTATGAACGCATGAGATAATATATATATTTCATGCTTATAATAGTGTGTAAATGATGAGTCATGATGTCGAATGTGTGTAACTAGAGCAATGTCCTTGTCCAATGATGCGTTCTCAAGAAAAAAGAAGCCACCTATGTATGGCTGAACTGTTGAGGCTAGCTACAGCAACTCAAAGCTGAGGGCAAAGCTAGCCAACTTTGCCAAGCTAGCAAGCGAGGCCTCATGTTGCACATGTGGCCAAACTAGAACAACAAGTCACGTGGCAGCATATGGCACACCATATGACCAGCAAGGTGAGCATGGGATCTATGAACACATTTCACTGTGGGTGAGTTGTGGAGTATGGACATGTCATGGTGAGCATAATGAGAAGAGAAAGTGCAACTTCTGAGAGTTGAACCCACAACCTCTAAGACCAAAGGTGAGAGACAACCCACTGAAACATACTTGCTGCTGAACAAAGACTACGTAGCACTATTCCAGCTCCCTAAATCTGAGCTTTTAGGGTTTGTAGAGTCTTTGAGTCATTTCAAGATCGAACTTCTTCCTACCTTGTGCTTTAAGACTATAGTTCCTGGTAGACCGCCGTTCGCTCAAATTACTCTCACGTCGTGAGTTCTTTATTATAGCGAGTGATTCAACCTGCTGATTGTAGACGACATTAATACACTCCAAATCCAACTTATAGCAAGTCATTTGATACAGTAATCAGTCCACTATCAACATTTGAAACCGCTCTGCAAATTAACATATGTGCACTCTAACTTTCGTTTTGGGCATATTTGAGCCTAGATATGAGCAACGAACCGAATCTAAGTTCGGTTTGCTCAAACAGGTTCGAGGTAACTCGAACCGAACTTTTTTCCTGGTAAAAAAGGTTTGGGCAAACCTTGAAAAAGTTCGTGCGAACCGTTTGCTCAAAATTTTTAAGTTCCAGTTTTGGACTTCGAACCGAACAGGTTTGAAGTTCAAAACTGTCTAATTCGAACTGCGTGGGGTTCGAATTAGATACCTGCCGAATCCCACGCGACTTTCTCATAAAAAACGGCAGGGTCAAAGGGTTGGCTGCCATTTCACGGCAGCCGATTCTAGACTCGTAAATTTACTAGAGCATATCTAGATCTGCAATGATCTACCATTCATTAACTAGACCTTCCTCTTAAGATGCGTCATACATTTAGGTGTTAGGTTAGATATAACAGTGCGCATACATTATGTTCCCAGCTGGAGCAGAGCATTCCGTTTTTTAACCCCAAACCTTCCTAGGTTCGAGATCGCTCAAACCTTTCACGGTTTGAGGAAACCTTTAGGGTTTGCTATTATATACTCAAACCTCAAACATCAGAATTCTAAAAAAAGTTCGAGCGCACCTGTTCGGTTCGGTTCGACCATCATGCAAGGTTCGAAAAAGTTTGAGCAAACACGTTTGAGTTCGGTTCGTGCTCATATCTATTTGAGCCTACTGTGGCTGTAACACTATGCCCCCCACCCCTCCCTTCCTCTTCCCCACCACCCCTCGCCTTCTTACCTTGTTCCTTGACATCCGAAGGTATGCATAACGCAAATTCATGCTGCTCCACAACGTGACATTGCTGGACGTTGCTGATCTATAATATTGCGTAAAGTGTGGAATCCACCCTTCCCCACTTCCTCCTTTCCCCCCTACCCCTCGCCTTCTCCTCGACATCCGAAGGTATGCCATGGCATGCTGCTCCACAACACATTGCTACACGTTGCTGCACTACCTTTTTGCATCAGAATTCCACCCACCCCCTACCCCTCGCCACCCCACCTTTCTCCATGACATCCGAAGGTACGCCTTGGCATGTTTCTCTACGATGCCCCGCTGCTGGTAGATCCACTCCTCCCCCACCACATCCTTTAGATTGCCACTGAGAAGAAAAGAGGGAGAGGGAGAGGGAGAGGGAGAGGGAGAGGGAGAGGGAGAGGGAGAGGGAAAGATTTGTCATACTGCTTTCTTGCACTGTGAACAAGGCTTACCTTGACCCCTCCCCTTTCCCCACCCTCACCCCCACATAACTTCTCCATTTTCCCTCCCTCACTTTACCACGCGCTCCACGATGTAGCGCACGTTGTTCTTGAGGAAGAACTGCCCGAGGGACCATTGTTGCATGGTACATACATCCTGCTTGCACTGTGAACGACGCACCACAGTACACCTTGCGGAATGAACAGGGCTATTCCTTACTTGATGACACGCTCCACGATGTAGTGAGCGTTGTTCATGAGGAAGAACTCACTGAGCGCCGCATTGTCATACTGCTTGCTCTTCCTCTCCACCAGGTTTGTGTAAAGCACCGCAAAGGCCCGCTTCATATTGTCACTGAAGATGTTGCTGCCAGCGCCAAAGAGTGACTGCATGGTGGGCTGGAAGCTGAAAGGGAGGGACGCGTAAAGGGAAGGGAGAAGTAAAGGGGACAAGGGAAAGGGACGAGACGAGTTAAGGGGGCGTGTGAAGGGGACAAGTAAAGGGGACAATCAAAAGGGACGAGTAAAGGGGGAAAGTAAAGGGGACGAGTTAAGGGGACCAGAAGAGGGGACGGGTAAAGGGAACGAGTGAAGGGGACTACAATCAGCCACGCATCAAAGCCAACGACACACAGTCAGCGACGCACAGTTAACTATGCATGAGAACTCAACGACGCATCAAGAGCCAACGACGCACTCATCATTGGGATGGTTGAAGCTGTTAACCATGTAGCTGGTGAGTGCATGCACGATGTCATTACGCGGCATGCTGTGGTGGAGTAATTCCCTCCTCCCCTCTCTCACACAGCCAACGATGCATCAGTCAATGACGCATCAAAAGCCCACGACGCACTCGTAATGGAGATAGTTAAAGAAGTTAGCAACGTGGCTCGTGAGCGCATGCCTCGTGTCATCCTGCCAGCGCGTGCCATGCTGTGGTGAAGTGAAGTTATCCCCTCCCGTCCAACGCACAGGCAAGCCAAGCTTCAGAAGTCAACGACACATCACAAGTCAACGATTCACCCGTCATTGAGATAGTTGAAGTTGTTCACCACGTGGCTGGTGAGCGCATGCCTGGTGCCATCGCGCGGCATGCTATAATTCTCATCGCTCGCCACTGCCAGCTCAAAGTTGTTAAATGCATCCTTAGAGGCCGTTGCTAGTCGCTGCAGCAGCTGCTGCGCGCTGCTCCGGATGGCATCACATGCCGTGCCCGCAAACACCACCTCCACCTGTACGCATTGAGAGGACAGGGTGAGAGAGGAGGGTTATCATCTATGTTGGCATATACGCGTATAGCGTATATACGCGTGTCGTACTATACGCGCTAAGGGCCCCAATCCAGGAAAACGCTTTTTTGGGCAGGTTATAAAAAACCGGGCAGGTTGAAAAAACCGCTCAAATCCGCAAATTTCCCCGCAGATCCTCGCGGATGGGCAATTTGTTATCATATTTTGTGTTGATGCATTTTATGTTGTGTGTTCATGGCTCTCATGAAGAACTCATGAAACTCACATGAAACACTCACACGAAGCTCTCATAAAGCTCTCATGGCGCTAAAATGAAGCTCTCATGAGACTCACATGGGATCCTCATGAAAGGCTCATTGAGCTCCCATGGCGAGCGAATGGAGTACCAGGGTGCTCGATTGTTTGACTAGAGAGGGGGGACCAGTTGACTTCTTGCGAGAGACAACAGAAGTGTGCGAAAGTCAGGAACCACGCGTGGGGTCCTGACACGCGCGTGTGGCCCCACAGGGAACACGCATGTGTCACACTTGCGACCGCGCACAGTGTGCGCAACCGCAACAGAACAGAACGACACGATCTATTTGTCCTGTGCTGTACTGTGCGCGATCGCTGTCGCGATCGCATTGTACAGCACGACCAAGTCATATCTCGGTCGTGACGTGTGACAGGGGGGGTGCTCGAATTACATCTAAAAACTGTATCCCGCGCTGACTCAGCGAAAATGAATTTTCAAGAGAAAGTCATGTTGCTTAGCAAAATAGCTACATAACAGGTATAAAACGGTAAAGATCGTTTTATAACTGTTAGCTCGCATGAATCTTAGGAGAACTCATGAGTGCTCACATTGGAGTTCGCAAGAGCATTTGTTAGAAGCGAAAAAAAAAAAAGACAGTTTCTATCAGGACGTGGACCAAGACAAATGCTCCAGAAGTTGAGCACCCGTTTTCAAAACCAGCGAGGAAATTTTAAAATTCGGTTTTACAACCGTTTTAAGCTTGCATTTGCTTGTGCATAAGATTTATATAAAATGTGATCACCTGTCACACTCGGAAAGCTTCGAGTGGAGATAGGTGCTACTAAGTTTTAGCTTGTAGTTAAGTTATAAATCATTTCTGCATAGTCAATAGCAGCTAACACGTGGTATCAAAGCTTGTACCTAGTCGCTTTCAACGTATCCAATGATGGGGTCGCCTAGAAAAGAAGGGAATTTAGCCCCCGCGAGTAGTGGTAGCCAGGAATCTGATGTCTCCGCGCCTAGGATAGTCCAAACGAGCCACGGCCCACTGCTAAGGGAGGCATTGAAAATTTTCACAGTCGACAAGTTTAGTGGTGAAGGATACAACGGCTGGTTCTAGAAGGTGCAGCTGAATTCTTGGCAGATATGAATTCTTAAGCTTATGATTGGTAGTGACATGTTGACAGCTATAACGTTATGCGGAAGCGACTAAAGCTTGAACTACAAACTTTGGTCGGCAACACTTAACATCACTTGCAGCCCTTCGAGTGTGACAGCTTGTCACCCCCTAGCCAAGGGCGTAGAAAATAGCAAGTGAGTAGTTATGCCTTGCTCAGCTTGTAGGACGAGCAAACTGGTCGAGAAGAATTTCGGCAGCACCAAGGTAATATTTCTACTCTCGTCAATACGAAGTAGTAGAATACGAGCTTGAAAAACGCAAATGCATTAGATTAATTTCGACAGGTACAAGCACACATTTATATAGATTCTACGCACAGGCAGGAGAAACTAGAAAACAGTTGTTTAACTGGCTCGCAGGATTTCGCCACGCTGTATCTTGAAAACAGTTGCACAACTCCTTGAGCATTTGGCTATATCCTCCTGTTGTTAAAAACTGTCTTCAAATTGCACTTGTAACAATCGCCCCTGCTGACTCAAATGTGTACACTCATGAGACTCGCATGTTGCTCCAATGTAGCTCAAATGTCTTCATGCGAGCTCACAGTTGTATAACGGTTTTTACCGTTTGAAAAACGGAGTAACCGATTTGCACCTGTGTCGAAATGATTCCGCAAAACGAAATGACTTTCGCGAGAAATTTCCCGTCCCGTGAGTCAACTCGGAAAACAGTTTTTCAACTGTAAATTCCGAGCACCCCTCGTGCCACATGCACGACCGAGATTTTTTCTCGGTCGTGCTGTACAGCGCGCCATGATCGTAAACATGCGCGCCTACAGTACGGGACAGGGCCGAAATGGGCCCTGTCTTGTTGCGATCGTGCTGTACAGCACGCTCGCAACAGTACGCGGCACACGCGCGTGCCTTGTGGTCCCACACGCGCGTGCCTTGACCCACGATCAGGTCTTGACTTTCGCGCTTTTGACCAGCGTGAGAAAAGTCAAGGCATCTCTTGACCAGTCAAAGAACCGAGCACCCCTCGGTACACCACCCGCTCACATGAGGCTTCAATAAGTCTCGCAAGAAAATTCGAGACTCATGGGACTTTCATGGTCGCTCGCATGAGCCTCGCATAAAACATTTAAGTCCCATGCGAGCTTCGTTTGAGCTCCATAAGGTCTTCATTTGAGCCTCATTTGAGCGCTTCGCATGAGTCTCATTTGAGAGCTTCGCATGAGTCTCATTTGAGAGCTTCGAATGAGTCTCATTTGAGAACGCTTCATGAAGGCCTCATTTGAGCGCTTCATGGGAGCTTCATGAGAACAGTGAAAACGAAACTGAAAATGCAAAAACACAAAATGCACTTATGAATAAAAACGAAACACACAAAACGCAAGAACAAATGCGTACAGAAGGTTCACAAAATAAAAATGAAAAATGCGCACACACACAAATATGCAAAATGCGATGCAGGCGGCTGGTTGACGTGCAAAAATAAATATGTGCACCCAACATGACAAACGTTCTAGCAACCCGAAGTTTCGGGGCGATTGGGACGAACATTCATCAGCCGCATATTACATATTTTCTCAAAGCCTAGACCTCACCCAACGTCAGCACATTATCCATTTAATCCCAGACACAAGGAAGAGTGCGGACTTAAGGCGTGGGTCGTGCACAAGGACCTATATTCTGGGTCAAAATGACTCCAAAACCATATTGTGGATCCTATCCTACATGTGGTCGCACCTCGACTACCATAAAATGCCACACTTTACTTCTCACGTTATACCTCATCTCACTTCCCTTCCCATATGAGTTGTCGCTTCCTGAAGTTGCATCTCAACTCAATCATCACACGAGCTCGTATCTTAACTCAAGTACCACACGAGTTTGCGTCACACATCATCTCACCTGTGGCATGAGCGTCCACATGGTCCACATGGTCTCTGAATATGAGGATGCATATCCAGCAGCTTCTCGAACATGTCCATAGCCCTTTGGCCTTGTTCACCGGTGCGCCACTTCTTGTGTTGGCATCTCAGCTTAATGATCACATGCCTTGGCGTCACATCTCACCTGTGGTATGAGCGCCCGCATGGTCTCATACATCTTCAACAGTGTTTCGAACATATCCATCAGCTCCTTGGCCTGATTCACCGGCATTCTTTGGCTCACCACCACCTCCCCGAAGCCAAACAGCATGCCCAGCGTGAGATCCGCCAGGTCTGCAAACGCCTTGCTTGAGTGCGGCTCCAACCCTGCAAGGACCGTCTCACACAGCGCCCTCTCCGCCTTGAAAACCACATCCACCTGCGTGCAGTGAGGTGCAGTGGGATACAAGGAGGAAGTGGGTGGCTTGTGAGGGGTGTAGTGTTTCGCACAGCTCCCTCTCCGCCATGAACACCACGTGCACCTGGGGGTGAAAGGGAGAGCGGGTTAGAGAACGGAGAAGCAGTGGAGGGGGGTGGGAGTGGTGGGGTGTCAAAGGGGGTATAGTGTTGGTAGAGTGTTTGTGTGCGGCTTCAACCCTGCCAGCACCGTTTCACACAGCTCCCTCACCACTATGAATACCACGTGCACCTGGACGGAATAAAGCGGTGGAGGTGGGTGGGGGGCGGTGGGTTGTCAGGGGGTTCTGATCTAGTGTTGACAACAGAGCCTATGTGCTGTGCGGCTCCAGCCCTGCAAGAACCGTTCCACACAGCTCCCTCTCCGCCTTGAACGGACACGTATCCGTGCTCATGAAGAAGGGATGCAGTAGGGAGGAACGTTCTAGCAAAAAACCGAGAAGTCAATTGGTGAAAATTGCAAATCACACAGCGCCCTCTTCGCCCTGAACACCACGTGCACATGAGTAGGGGTGGGGAAGAGTTGATAGAGACGGTGGGTGGGGTGTCAAGGGTTAGGAGTTGAAGGAACACCACACCTCCTGCCCGCTCCGCCATCAAAACCGCATGCACCTGGTGGGAGGGAAGGGAAGGGGGAGGGAGGGGAGGGGAGGGGAGGGGAGGGGAGGGGAGGGGAGGGGGGGGGGAGGGGAGGGGCGGGGAGCGGGAGGGAGGGGAGGGGAGGGGAGGGGGGGGGAGGGGAGGGGAGGGGGAGGGAGGGGAGGTGAGGGGGGGGAGGGGAGGGGAGGGGGAGGGAGGGGAGGGGAGGGGAGGGGGAGGGGAGGGGAGGGGAGGGGGGGGGAGGGGAGGGGAGGGGGAGGGAGGGGAGGGGAGGGGAGGGGGAGGGAGGGGAGGGGAGGGGGAGGGAGGGGAGGGGAGGGGGAGGGAGGGGGGGGCACCGCCATGAACACCATGTGCACCTGCTTGCATAAGGTTTGGGTGGGGAAAGCGAGGTAGGGAGTTGTCAGGAATCAGTGTTGACGGGAAACCCGCTCGGGCCATTGCCACGTGCACCTGCTCCCACTCTGCCACTGAACCCCTGTCACACACACCACGTGCACCTAGGGATGGTGGAGATTAAGGGATGGGGAGGTGGGTGGGATGGGATGTCAGGGGTATGATGGTGATGTTAAGGTGCAGCATGTGGCGATTCTGGGTGTGCAGAAGCATCCGATTCCTTTCACATGAGCCCATCCCAGCACACTCGTCAAGTAGAGATGTGTTTTCAGATCCTATCGAAATATCGCGGGTCATCTCCAATCATGGTCGGTTGGACGGGCTGTCGGAAACACAGCTCTGCCTGCCTTCTGCCCTTATTCTGATTCTCTTCCTCTCTCTAGCTTCTAGAGCTTCTTCTGAAAGAGACGAAGCTCCCAACCGAAGGGTCCTCCCTGAGTGGTGTGTCACCTAGTTGCAAGATTAAGGTAACAACGTTCCACTATACGAAAGGACATCAAGAGAAAAGCAACGAGTGAGTGTGTGTTAGTGAATTTACCCATCCCAGGCTTGAAGCATGCATTTCTCAATGTGCGCCTTGAGCCTGGGTTGGTTTGTTCACATTGGTTCCTTGGATTGCAACCCTCGTAGCTCTCCTACCAACTTCGCGACACTCTCCCTGGTCCCCAACTACCTACACCCCAAATGTTCATATTCGGTAATGCTACAACCCTCACTACACCGCGGCAAAACTGGCACCTTATATGCACAACCGTGCATATTCGGTGACAGGGCAAAAACAACATCTGGTGTGCGCTGACTGACTCACCGCCATGCTGATCTGCGGCTTCCACAACCCCTCAACGCGCGTCTCCAGATCCGTCCAAACCATGCAATCCATCTGCTCACGTGTGAGCTCCTCCGTGCAGTTCATGCGCTTAAACCCCGCCTTCACCGCGGCGCCGCGCACATTGCTGCTTGGAGGGGAGAGTGTTAGAGAGTGAGTGAGTGAGTGAGTGAGTGAGTGAGAGACGTGCATCTTGCTGCTTGGAGGGGAGAGTGTGAGTGAGTGAGTGGGTGAGTGCATGCGTGCTATGCACTACTCTCTGCTCATTGTTCTCATCTGCTCGCGAGTTAGCTCCTCCATCCCAATGCGCCTCAACCCCGCATGCAACATTGTGCTGCGCACCTTGGCGCTTGCAGGGGAAAGTGTGAGTGAGTGAGTGAGTGGCGCGCATCTAGCTGCTTGGGGAAGCGAGTGTGGAAGTGAAGCGTGTACCTGCGAGGGTGTGTGATCAGCCTGGCTCACGTGTATATCTTCAGGCATTTATTGGCCCGGCCAATCCGGATGAGTGCCTCTGCCAGCTGGCGGATGCGCTCGCCCGCCTTTCTATTTGCCAGCAGCACCGGCAGCCCATTGCCCTCCGACTCGGCCTGCTTGATCGCTTCTGCTAGCTTTGCTGGATGTGCAGCCTTGCTGTATGGGGGGGAAGAGGAGGGGGGGATATGGAGTGCGTGAGGGCTGATTAGAAGAGGAAGGAGGGTTTGTCTCCCGCCCGCACGCCTACGCCTCCTCCTCCTCCTCCTCCTCCTCCTCCTCCTCCTCCTCCTCCTCCTCCTCCTCCTCCTCCTCCTCCTCCTCCTCCTCCTCCTCCTCCTCCTCCTCCACCTCCTCCTCCACCTCCTCCTCCTCCTCCACCTCCTCCTCCTCCTCCTCCTCCTCCTCCTCCTCCTCCTCCTCCTCCTCCTCCTCCTCCTCCTCCTCCTCCTCCTCCTCCTCCTCCTCCACCTCCTCCTCCTCCTCCTCCTCCACCTCCTCCTCCTCCTCCTCCTCCTCCTCCTCCTCCTCCTCCTCCTCCTCCTCCTCCTCCTCCTCCTCCTCCTCCTCCTCCTCCTCCTCGCCCTGCTTCTCAAGGCTTGACAGATTTTGGCTACTTGCTGGGTGGGGGGAGGGAGAGGAGGGGGTGGGGGAGAAGAACGGCATTGGATTGGATAGAGAGTGAAGCCGGGCTATAGCGTGAAGATGCAAGAAGCAGGCTTGTTTTACTTCAGGCGCCTCGAAAAATGGATAGGGAGAAAAGCCAGAGCATAGAATGAAGATGCAGGCTCGGATGGCAGGACGGAGGAAAATTGAAAGAAAAAAATAGCGAACCTCGCTTTCCCCTTTTCCTCCCCTTTCCTACACTCCTCCCCCTCCCTCCCGTCCACGCATCTCCATTCCTCCCCTCTCTTTTCCCTCTCACTAACTGCAGCAGCAGCTGTCTCTTCCTCTTCCTTGCTCCCTCGTACCTTTTCCCCACATTCACCTGTCTCCTTCTCACTCACGTGAACTGCAACAGCTGCTCCCGGAGAGCATCCTCCAGCCGGTGGTGGGCTTCCGTCAGCAGTGCTCTCTTCTCCCCCACACCGTTCATCCTCTCACCCCCCCACCCCTCCCCATCCCCCTCTGCTCGCTCACGTGAACTGCAGCAGCTGCTGCCAAAGGGCATCCTCCAGCCGGTGGTGGGCTTCCCTCAGCAATCCTTTAATATGAGCCAGAGCCGCCTCCGCACTCCCTCCCGGTAGGCCTCCCCCCACTCCCAACCGCACTCACGTGAACTGCAACAGCTGCTCCCGGAGAGCATCAGCCAGGCACTGGTGGGCGTCCCTCAGCAGCTCCTGGGAGTCAGCCAGAGCCACCTCCGCGCCCGCCCGCATTTGGGTCGACTCAAAAGCAAACTCAAAAATCCTCCACACCCTTCAACTTCAACGGCCGCTTTTTCCCCACGCCTTCAGAACTCTCGCACCTCTCACTCAGGCCCGCTTCTCCGTCTCTTCGCCTCTAACTTCCCCCGCTCACTCCCTGGCCCCTTCCCTCGCCCTCTCCCCCACCCCCCGCCCCATCCCCCCCTCCCACTCACGTGAACTGCTGCAGCTGCTGCTTGAAAGCAGCATTCAGGCGGTGATGGGCCTCCTTCAGCAGCGCCTGGGAGTGAGACAGAGCCAACTGCCAGGCGCCCTTCACCGGTTGGAGCACCTCAGAGCACCGCACGCTCTCTTCCAGCTGTGCTATAGCTGCTAAGTACGGCTCTAGGTCGGCCTTGGGACCTTCTTTGATGCGCGCCTCCAACTGTTACACGGGAAAGGCACGGAGGTACAGAAATGAGTAAGGTCAAGGCCAATCTGCCTCTTCCCCACCCCACCATGCCCTCCTGCAGCTGTGCTATGGCTGCTAGGCACGGCTGTAGGTCGGTCGGCCTCGAGCAGGAACCGTCTTGTTGCAGGTTGCATTGAGAATTCTCAAGAACGCCCTCCTGCAACTGTGCTATGGCTGCCAGGTACGGCTGTAGGTCGGTCGGCCTCAAGCAGGAACCGGCTAAACCGCTATTCCTGGGGCCCTCCTTGATACGCGCCTCTATCTGCCACGTGGGATGTGTCAGCTCCAGCAATTTGTTCGCCGAAACTCTTTCTATTGTTCCAACTATCTCTGAGACTCGAATCGCCTTCTCCTCGCAACATACTTACTCCACGTTAGTGAAGGATGGCCAAGCACACTTGCATTGCAACAGTATTCTTTCACCCTCCTCCAGCCCCTCCCCTCCCCTCCTCCTAGTACTATTTATCCAACCCGTCTACCCTCCTACCAAGCCTTGATTCAGACCCGCTTGCCACGTCACCTCACCTGCCTTGCCACGTCATCTCACCTGCCTTGCCACGTCATCTCACCTGCCTTGCCACCTCACCTCACCTGCCTTGCCACGTCACCTCACCTGCATTGCCACGTCAGCTCACCTGCCTTGCCACGTCATCTCACCTGCCTTGCCACGTCAACTCACCTGCATCGCCACTTCATACTTCTCCAGCACCAGATGAGCAGCCTTGAGCGGCTTCTCTCACAATGACATGCGAAGACGGGGGAGGGAGAGGGAGAGGGAGTTGGGAGGAGGGAGGGGGAGGGAGGGCGAGGGTGGGGGAGGGAGGGGGAGAGAGGGGGAGGGAGGGGGAGAGAGGGGGAGGGAGGGGGAGGGAGGCGGAGGGTGAAACAGGGAAAGGGAGAAAGGTCAGTCAGGGCATACTCATGTGCGCCTGTGTGCCGTGACAATGTCGCAGGTACACTCATGTGGGGGGGAGAAGTCAAGAGGGAGGATGCGTATTGAAGCAAGAGACAGCGTGCCTTGCGGATGGCGCAGGTACGGTCCTGGCAGAGGATGTGGGAGTGGGGAAGGACAGGGAGAGGGAAAGGGGGAAAGGTCAGTCAGTGCATACTCAACGCGTGTGTGCCTTGCGGATGGGGTAGGTACGCTCCTGGCAGGTCATGCAGTGGTGGGAGTGGGGGAAAAGGACAGTGATGGGGACGGGGAGAACGAGGGGGGACGGGAGAGCGAAAGAAAATGGGAGAGTGAAAGGAAAAGGGAGAGCGAAAGGGAAAGGGAGAGCGAAAGGGAGGGCAAGAGGGAAAGGGAGAGGCTATAATCAGGCCACTGATTATAGTGAGCGTGTGCCTTGTGGAATGGCATAGGTGCGTTCCTGCCGAATCAGGCCAGGCCACAACAAAGTTGGGCGAAAGGAGGGTGAGGGAAGGGAGTGGGAGGGAGGGAGAAGGATTGGGGGAGGGAGAGGGCGCAAAATGAAAGAGAGTGCTCGGGAAGGGAGTCGGGGAGGGAGAATGGGGGATGAAAGGGGGTGCTGCTCCTGCCAGCCAGGTCATCCCGAGGTGGGCGTGCGGAAAGGAGACTGGGGAGACTGAGCGGGGGATGGAAGGCTAGAAAAGGGAGTAGGGGAAGCAGGGCGAGAGAAGGGAGTGGGGGAGAGTGAGAGAAACGAGTGGGGTGAAAGGAAGCCATATTCATGTGAGCGTGATGCTTGTCGATGGCTTATGTGGCTTCTGCCAGGTCAGGTTGACGTGAGAAGAGAGAGAATGCAGTCTGACAGTGGAAAAGGGAGGGCGAGAGAAGGGAGTGGCGGGAGGGGGGAGATAGAAGGGAGTAGGGGAGGGAGAGTGCAGGATGTGAGGGAGAGTGCCGGATGTGAGGGGGAGTGAGGGATGTGAGGGGGAGTGCGGGATGTGAGGGGGAGTGCGGGATGTGAGGGGGAGTGCGGGATGTGAGGGAGAGTGCGGGATGCAAGGGGGAGTGCGGGATGTAAGGGGGAGTGCGGGATGTGAGGGGGGGTGCAGGATGTGAGGGGGAGTGCGGGATGTGAGGGGGAGTGCGGGATGCAAGGGAAAGTGCATAATCATGCAATCAAGCGCATGCGCTTTTGTGACTTGCAAGAACAACACGCAGGCGGGATGCAAGGGGCGAGACGCCACAACACTGGCATGTGACGCTGCTAAGTCAAAGGGTAGCCTCTTTTGTGAAGCCTGCGGGTCTAAAAATAGGTTTGAAAGGCCTCTGCCGCTGCGTCTCTGACTTCGCGGTGGTCCGCTCGGCTCGGTTCGGCTCGGCGCGGCTCGGCGCGGCGCGGCGCGGCTCGGCTCGGTTCGGTTCTGCATGGCTCGGCTCGGCTCGGCAGAGCGGCGCGACGCGGCGTGGCTCGCCTCGGCTGCTCGGCTCGGTTTCTCTGCTCTGCTCTGCTCTGCTGTGTTAATAGCTTTGGCTCGCTAAGCTGCTCTGCGTGAAATCCCATAGGCGTGCAATGCTCCTTCCGAACCGACTAAGGTGGCTGAGGCGGGCCCTCCGACTGCTCGCGTCGCATCGCTGTGCATTGGATCGTCTATGTCGCACGCCTCACCTGGGACGGCCGCATAGCCGCGAGCCGCTGGTCAAACGATCCTACGCGATCATTGCTGCTCTGCGACTGCGCCAATGTGTCGCACGGGGCCGCGTCGGCCACGTTTGCGGCGTCGCAAGAATCAACAATTACTGAATTCTAGATTTCCTACGCCTAATAATCAGAAACGCTATGGCGTAATTCATCCCAGAAACTGCATAACTACATTGAAGTACTCATTTCAGGGTTGGCTTGCGAGGAAACAAGAGGCTGGCCAACTTAGGGCAGGTCTCGAAAGTACAAATACTGTACATATAATTTCGTGAAAGTAACCCGAATAAATATTCGCACACCCTTTCGTCAGGGCACGATGCTGACTTGCGGGTGCACGGTGACGAGAACAATTTCGCGTAAGAAATAGGTTTCGCGGCAAACAGCATCTGGTAACGGGGCGAAGTGCAGCTCCATGTCCCAAATCTAGAACCACGGAAGGTCCCCCCCAAAGCGATTCCTCTGGTCCGACAGACTGGTCGGACCGACGGAACAAGGCAACACTGCCTTGGGTCACGCAACCAGACCTGAACCTGACACGCAGGCAGGTCAGAACAGCCTCGGGTCACGCTCACAACCGAGGCAAGCTTCCTAACCTACCGGTTGCGGTTCAGTCACATCACGATGGAGACCGCGAAAAGGCAGGAATAAATGTACAACCTAAGAGTCTAGATTTCGTCTAGCAGCTTTTGGGGGTAGAACAGAGCGTAAAGTTCGTGTACGACTTGAATTGTAGGAAGATTAGCGAAGAAGATGGAGAAGTGACGTCGTCATTTGAGACGTCGCAAACGTCGCCATGGTCGCGGAAGTGGCGTGCGACTTAGCGTCGCACGCGCAGGCTTTGCGCGACGCGTTGGCGCAGTCGCAGAGCAACAATGATCGCCTGGCGGACATCCTAGGGTCGTTCGACCAGCGGCTCTCGGCCTTAGACACGGCCATGCGACCGACCCAGGTGAGGCATGCGACATGTGCGACGCATTGACCTAGTATTGCGACAAAAGGAAGCGAGCCAACGAACGGCGACGAGCGAGATGAAGGCGGCGACGCGAACGGTTGAGAATAGGGCTCCGTCCTCTCCGTTCGCGCAGACCGTGGCTGAAGGCGCTCCGTCGTGGCCGTTCCTCGCGTCCGATTGGTCGAAAGCGCGGTCCGCGGCACGCCCGTCCCTCCCTATATCGCGCGGCACGTGAATGAAGCTGCGCTTCGTGCGACTTACTGCGCCGCTCCGCCTCCCCTTGATCTCCGCAAGATTCCCTCCCCATATGGTCTCCCTTGTCCCTCGTCCCTCTCCCTCCCTCTTCCACCTCCCCCACACTCCTCCCCCACTCTCCTTACCCCACTCTTCTTACCCTCTCTCCTCCCCCACTCTCCGTACTTCACTCGTCTTCCCCCCTCTCTTCCCTCCTCCCGTTCTCCTTTCCCCACTCTCGTCGCTCCTGCATGCTCATGACTGCCCTTGCCTCCATTCCCCCTCCCACCGCGGCCTGACCTACGCCATCTGCAGCACGGCGCATGCCCGCAAGAATCATGGCCTCTCTTATGCCCGCCTATGCCCTCCCACCGCGGCCTGACCTGGCAGCACCACATTACACCACACCACACCACACGCCATATGCAACAAGGCGCATGCCCACAAGAATCATGGCCTCTCTTATGCCCGCCTATGCCCTCCCACCGCAGTCTGACCTGGCAGCACCACATTACACCACACCACACCACACTCCATATGCAGCAAGGCGCATGCCCGCAAGAATCATGGCCTCTCATATGCCCGCCTATGCCCTCCCACCGCGGCCTGACCTGGCAGCACCACACCACACCACACGCCATATGCAGCAAGGCGCATGCCCACAAGAATCATGGCCTCTCATATGCCCTCCCACCGCGGTCTGACCTGGCAGCACCACACCACACCACACCACACCCATGCCATCTGCAGCAACGCACATGCCCGCATGAAACACGGCCTCTCGTATGCCGTTCCCACTCTCATCGCGTGCATGCTGACGTGGCAGGAGCGCACCTACGCCATCCGCAAGGCGCACGCTCACACAAATATTCCCTCTCCCTTTTCCCATTTCATCTCCCTCTCCCTTCCTTATTTCCAACTCGGCCTGACCTGGCACAAGGAGTGCACCTACATCATCGACAAGGCACTCGCACACGTGAATACGCCCGGACTGGGCCGGCCTACCTTCCTTTCTTCCTTGCCCCGTTTCAACCTCCCTCTCCCTCCCCTATTCCCAACTCCGCCTAACCCAGCAGGAGCGATGCCATCCGTGGTGGGCCAGGAGTTTCTTCAGGTGCTCGTGCAGCACGACTTCCCCTACAGCTCGCTCAAGATGCTCGCCAGCTATCGATCAGCGGGGAAGAAGTTCGACTTCGATGTAAGTCCCGCTTCCAGTTTCGATGATCTGCTTCGAGGGTCGGGGATCTTCTTAGAGGTTCGGGAGAAGGGCCTCGAGAACATCGCATGCTTGAATAGGTCAGCCCCTGGATGTCAGCCCCTGGATGTCAGTCCCTGGGAGTCAGCTCATGAAGGTCAGTCAGCCCCTGAATAGACTCAAGTCTGACATTCACGAGCTGGTCGCATGCCTGTCGCCACCCTTGTCATTGAGCGATCCACGGCCGCTAGCACCAATGAGGTTGCGACCAGAACCACTCAGATTTGTGTCCTGCATTTCCCGTCGCTCGTACTTCCTATCCTCCCGTTCACCTCCACACCTCGTTTGAGAGCCTTAGAGACCGTCTTCCGCCTCCACCTGTGCATCGATCGCATGGCCTGTTGTACACGGTGACGGAGCTCACCAATGCATGTCTCTCTCCCATTGTAACGAGGTGACTTTTGAGTCGACTCAAAAGTCGCTTCGTTACAATGGCACTCCACCTGTGCATCGATCGCATGGCCTGTTGTACACGGTGACGGAGCTCACCAATGCATGTCTCTCTCCCATTGTAACGAGGTGACTTTTGAGTCGACTCAAAAGTCGCTTCGTTACAATGGCACTCCACCTGTGCATCGATCGCATGGCCGGCTGTACACGGTGGCGGAGCTCACCAATGCGTGTCTCTCTCCACTCGTTGCATTTCCCTCGACCTGCATAACCTCGTCGCCACCCGTCTGCACCCGTCTCCACCCGTCTGCACCCCTCTACAACCTTGCACCATTGGCAGGGCCACACGCACATGGTGGGGAAGCTCACGGAGGCGTGCCTCAACTCGTCTCCACCCCTCTCCATCCGTCTCAACCCGCGAATCAATGACAGGGCCGCACGCACACGGGAGGAGCTAACGGAGGAGAGCTTCAACTCGTCTTTCCGCGTTGCATTCCCCTCGACCTGCACCAGCTCAACCTTCTCCACCCCTCGCAACCCCTCTCCACTCCACCCGTCTCCCCCCCCCGCACACCATGGCAGGGTCGCACGTACACGGTGGAGGAGCTGACGGAGGAGAGCTTCAAGGGCGTCGACATTGCTCTCTTCAGCGCTGGCGGCTCCATCAGGTACGCCGCCGCGCTGCCGGCTTCCGCCCTCCGCTCTCCGCTCGCCGCTCTCCCCTCCCACTCTCCGCTCGCCGCTTTCCCCTTCGTCCGTGCCCCCTCTCACTCACCTGCCCCCTTCCCTTCCTGCCCCTCCCCCCTCCCCCTCCCCCCCCCCCCCCCTCCCTCCCCCTTCTTCCGTCCGCGCAGCAAGAAGTTTGGGCCGGCGGCGGTGGCGGAGGGAACGATCGTGGTGGATAACAGCTCCTCGTTCCGCATGACGGACGGCGTGCCGCTCGTCGTTCCCGAGGTGAGTCGTGCCGCTTGTCGTTGAAGAGGTTTGCGGTTCGCAGTGCTGGTACGGGTTAGTGGTGCCCGAGGTGAGTCGCTTGTAGCGCCAGGAAAAGCGGATCGGTCGTGGGGGACAGCAGTTCCGCCTCTGCATGACGGACGGCGCGCCGCTCGTCGTTCCCGAGGTGAGCGAGTCGCGCCTCAGGTGCGTTGATTGTGCTCGGAATGCCAAGTAATGAAATGACACGCAGTATTACCGCGAAGTCGCGCACGACGCGCTATGTACGGCGGTGCAGGGCGGGCGTGAAGTGCTGAACGCGCCCGCCGCGTCGTGCGCGACCAAGTTATGAAGCCCATCCAGCTGCTCACGTTGCACCCGTGGCGTCGTGCACGAGGAGAGGACCCGTCGAGGGTCTTCGCTCAAATCAGACCCTCGTATGGAAAGGCCTTGATGACCTCATATGGAAAGGCCTTGATGACCTCATATGGAAAGGCCTTGATGACCTCATATGGAAAGGCCTTGATGACCTCATATGGAAAGGCCTTGATGACCTGCGTGTGCTGATGCGAGTTTTGAGGCGGCCCCAAACTCGAGCGTGGTGTCGTGCGCGAGGACCCGTCGAGCGCACAACTCCATTGCCCACGCCTTCCCCGCAACGTTTTGAAGCCCTTCCAGCTGCGCGCAGATCTAGCACTGTGCCGAGCCAAGTGTCCCGCCGATCCAGCTGTGCCGCGCTCCATCGCAAGCCCTAATCTCGTCGCCATGGCGCACATCAAGCTGGAGGGCGGCGGCGGAAGTCGCGTTCACATTCCCCTCCCTCACTTCCCTTTCCCTCCCCTCCCCTCTCTCCCCCCATTCTCCCCCCCCTCCCCAGGTGAACCCCGATGCCATGGCGCACATCAAGCTGGGCGGCGGCGGTGCCATCATCGCGAACCCCAACTGCTCCACCATCATCTGCCTCGTCGCCGTCACTCCCATCCACCGCCGCGCCAAGGTGAGGCAATGATACGGGCGATGGTGAAGGAGGGGAGAGGGGGAGAGAGGGGAGATGGTGCCAAGGGAGAGGGGGGGAACCCCGACTGCTCCACCATCATCTGCCTCGTTGCTGTCACACCGTCTCTGCTCCGCCGCCAGGTGAAGCGCATGGTGGTCTCAACGTACCACGCCTGCAATCGCTCACCTTCTCGTCTTGTCCCGACCCTTCCCCCCACTTTCCCGCCTCTTTCCCCCTCCTCCCCCTCCGCCAGGTGAAGCGCATGGTGGTCTCAACGTACCAGGCCGCCAGTGGCGCGGGCGCAGCAGCCATGGCGGAGCTCGAGCTGCAGACCAAGGAGGTGCGCACAATGGGGAAAGGGCGCGGGGCAACAGGGCGATGGGGGAAAAGGGAGGGGGGGAAGGAAAGGGCAATAGAGGGAGATAAATATGGCGAGAAAAAAAACGAAAGATTGTTGTGAAAGCCCCCCACCACCTCACTGGTTCCCCAACTGTCCACTCCATTCCATCTACCCCATGCCATCTACCCCATGCCATCTACCCCATGCCATCTACCCCATGCCATCTACCCCATGCCATCTACCCCATGCCATCTACCCCATGCCATCTACCCCATGCCATCTACCCCATTCCATCTACCCCATGCCATCTACCCCATGCCATCTACCCCATGCCATCTACCCCATGCCATCTAACCCATGCCATCTACCCCATGCCATCTACCCCATGCCATCTACCCCATGCCATCTACCCCATGCCATCTACCCCATGCCATCTACCCCATGCCATCTACCCCATGCCATCTACCCCATGCCATCTACCCCATGCCATCTACCCCATGCCATCTACCCCATGCCATCTACCCCATGCCATCTACCCCATGCCATCTAACCCATGCCATCTACCCCATGCCATCTACCCCATGCCATCTACCCCATGCCATCTACCCCATGCCATCTACCCCATGCCATCTCTACCCCATGCCATCTACCCCATGCCATATACCCCATGCCATCTACCCCATGCCATCTACCCCATGCCATCTACCCCATAGGATCCACCCTTTGCCGTGTACCACATGCTATCCCCCGATGCCATCCTCTCATGCCTACGTAATACTTTACCCCATACCCCACTCTCCGTGCCCTGCCCTGTCCCTGCCCTGTCCCTGCCCTGTCCCTGCCCTGTCCCTGCCATTTCCCTGCCATATCCCTGCCATATGCCTGCCATATCCCTGCCCTGTCCCTGTCTGTGTGCATGTGCCTGTACGTGTGCCTGTCATTGTCTGCGTGTGAGAGCAGGTGCTGGAAGGCAAGCCACCCACCACCACCATCTTTGGCCGCCTGGTGACCATGCCATGCCATGCCATGCCATACCATGCCACGCCGTACTCTGCCCTTCCGTGCTGTGCCATGCCATCACACGCAGTGCCAGTTCACGCCATGCCATTTCACGCCATGCCATCACATGCCACACTGCCCCCTCCCATCTGCCCTGCCCGCCTTGCCCTCTCTGTGCCCCCCTTCTGCTCCCCTTGCTCCCCTTCTCCTCTTGCTCCCCTTGCTCCCTGTGCTCCCTGTGCTCCCTCTGCTCCCTGTGCTCCCTGTGCACCCCGTGCCTTCCTGTCACCATGCGCCCAGTACGCGTTCAACCTGTTCTCGCACAACTCGCCCATGACGGCCAATGGGTACAACGAGGAGGAGATGAAGATGGTCAAGGAGATGCGCAAGATCTGGGTGAGTCATGCGCCATGCACGGGTAGGTCAGTGCCGCACACATGCACCTGCACTCCTTTTTTTGTGCTGAGTCTTGGTGTGCTGGTCGGGTTGTGGGTACAACGGCGGGGGGATGAAGATGGTCAAGGAGACGCGCAAGAAGATCTCGGTGCGTGCCAGCATGAGGGGGGTGAGGTAGGAATGGTAGGGAGATGTGGGAAGGTGCCAAGCATGGGTGGCTGCCAAGCATGGGTGGCTGCCAAGCATGGGTGGCTGCCAAGCATGGGTGGCTGCCAAGCATGGGTGGCTGCCAAGCATGTGTGGCTGCCAAGCATGGGTGGCTGCCAAGCATGGGTGGCTGCCAAGCATGGGTGGCTGCCAAGCATGGGTGGCTGCCAAGCATGGGTGGCTGCCAAGCATGGGTGGCTGCCAAGCATGGGTGGCTGCCAAGCATGGGTGGCTGCCAAGCATGAGTGGCAGCCAAGCATGAGTGGCAGCCAAGCATGAGTGGCAGCCAAGCATGAGTGGCAGCCAAGCATGAGTGGCAGCCCTGTGTGACCCCCTCAGCATGGGATTCTCTCCCCCCGGAGTGACCCGTCAGTTGCAGGCACAGGCGCGTTCTTTCCAACCCCCCCCTCTCTCCTGTGCATGCAGAGCGACCACTCAGAGGCGGTGACAGCCACGTGCATCCGAGAGCCGGTGATGCATGCTGTCTCACTCAACCCCCACCCCTGATGCTTCCCCTCTCTCGCCCCCCGTCTCCACCCACACCTCCTGTGCGTCCAGAGCGACCCTTCAGTGGCCGTCACAGCCACGTGCATCCGAGTGCCAAAGATGTGTGCTGTCTCACTCATCCCCACCTGTGCTGCTGCTGTTTCCCGACACTCCACCCCACCCCCCCCCCCCCTCTCTCTCCTGTGCGTCCAGAGCGACCCCTCAGTGGCCGTCACAGCCACGTGCATCCGAGTGCCGGTCATGCGTGCCCATGCAGAGAGCATCAACCTCACTCTCGAGGAGCCGCTGTCTGAGATGTGTGTGCTGTGAGGTGATGAGAGGTAATGAAAGGTGATTAGAGGTAATGAAAGGTGATGCGAGGTAATGGAAGGTGATGAGAGGTAATGAAAGGTGATGCGAGGTAATGAAAGGTGATGCGAGGTAATGAAAGGTGATGCGAGGTAATGAAAGGTGATGCGAGGTAATGAAAGGTGATGAGAGGTAATGAAAGGTGATGAGAGGTAATGAAAGGTGATGAGAGGTAATGAAAGGTGATGAGAGGTAATGAAAGGTGATGAGAGGTAATGAAAGGTGATGAGTGTCACCTGACAGGTGTGATGCGCGCCCATGCAGAGAGCATTAACCTCGCGATCAAGGAGTCGCTGTCAGAGTTGAGAGCGTGGAGAGGGAAAGGGGGAGGGGAGAGGGTGTATGAGGTGCGTGGGTGGGAGGGGGAGGTGCGTGAGTGAGATGGAGGCTTGACAGATCCCATGCAGGCATCATCAGCCTCACGTTCGAGGTTCCATTGTCAGAGGTGCGAGGGGCCTCATGCATCAACCCATGCACGTCTATGCTCCTTGTTCGTTCCAGCTAGATGCGAAGGAGAGTCGTTTTCTGAACAAGGCATTACACTAAGTGGTGTACAATCTACCCTACACACTACTGTGCTCCTTGACTCTGGCAGGTGGAGGCGAAGGAGATTCTGAGCGGTGCAGAGGGGTTGTACCTCATTGATGACCGCGACACCAACACCTTCCCCACGCCACTTGATGTGAGCGATGCCCCACTCCTTATTTAAGGCGCCTAAAAACAAAACTTCACTTGCATGAAGCAAAACTCTACATCTGTACTGTCCCTTCCCGTTGCCCCATTCCTCCCCCGCACCCACGTTGTCACCTAGTTCCCCCATTCCCCATCCCCACGTGCCCCCACCCGCTGCTGCCGCCTTGTGTTCCCCATTCCCGATGCCCACGTACCGCCCAACCCCTGCTGCCCATATGTGTTCCCCAAACCCTCATCCCTGTGTGCCGCCCGCCAGGTGTCCAACAAGAATGACGTGGCGGTGGGCCGCATTCGGCAGGACATCTCACAACCAGACAACAAGGGGTGAGGCGGAGGGGTGTAAGAGGGGTGGACGAGGGAGTGATTGGGGTTGAGAGTGGGGTTGAGAGTGGGGATGAGATAGGGTGGTAATGGGGTTTTGAGGTGCCTCAAGAACCACTTGAAAGAAGAGGAAAAATGCAATGCTGGAAACAAGCAGCGAGGTGGAGGAAAAGGGAGTTAGGGACTGTTTTGAGTTTTTTTCTAGAATATTACGGAATGAAGTTGACTACATTCCTCCTAACCTCTCGCGATTTCGCCATCAGTCTGCTCCCCCATCCACCCCTTCTGCTTGTCCATATTTGCCTGGTTGCACCTGTTGGTGTGTGGTGACGGGTTTGCAGTCTACTGAATCATCCCTCTATCCCTCCACCCCTCCCCACCCCCCTCCTGCACCAGGCTGGACTTGTTGGTGTGTGGTGACGGGTTTGCAGTCTACTCAATCATCCCTTCACCCCTCCCCACCCCCCTCCCACACCAGGCTGGACCTGTTTGTGTGTGGCGACCAGATCCGCAAGGGAGCAGCACTCAACGCCGTGCAGATTGCCGAGCTGCTTGTCAAGAAGGCCGGCGCTGCATGAAGGGAGAGGCACAGCGGGCGTTGTGCGAAAGGTGTAGCGTGACGGCCCAGGCATGACGGGTGTTGCTGTGTAATGGGCGTAGCATGGCAGGGCTTGTGCGAAGGAGTGTTATGTGAAGGGTGTAGTGCGAGTTAGCAATTAGGGTTACAAAAGGCGATCATTATTGCGTGATCCACCAAGACTGCACGGGGTAGGGAGTAGCTTCACCGGTCGCCAATTGTGGCGGCGCTGTTTCTTTGTTGGCGTGTATTATTTTGGTGTGACTTATTGCAGAGGCTACTCGTAGATAGTTCACAAGAATCTGAGCACGTTTATGGGCTGCTACAGGAAAGCATAAGCTATGAAAGGCTTTTACAAGGCTCGGCATTCAACGTCGTATGGGTTGCGCAGGTGCTAAATACTCTATGTAGACGCAACACCGGCCAAAAAAGTGACTAATGTTCATGTGTCATTCCCCCACCTACAATTGTTTCTTCTCATACATGATGCAATTTTGTTGGTATGTTACGACTACGATTAGTGAAAAGCAATTTGACCTTAACAGGATTATTTTATACACAAAATATGATAGTATCAATAGTAATACTGTCGTATTTCTTGTAATAATAATAGATTACTGATTATGTGCAATTACTTGTACTGTGATAAGTGGCTCAACACGGGACTCCGTATTTGCTTTCGTCATATGTTAGAGCTGACACAAACAGAACGCGAAATGTACAGTCCAGCTTTAGCCGAGTCACTTGAATTTCACATGCTCACGCGTACAAACAGCTCGATACCAAAACCCCACACATCCCAAGAAACTAGTTTATTCCATCAGGTGAAGACTTTCCCGCCATCTCACTATAGTACCTCAGCTCTTCACGAGCTTTAGTCACCAGTAAATCGCCTTGCGCCTGTGACAAACGATCGGCGTGTCAAGAAGGAAGTGATTGCATTGAGCAAGCAGATGAGTACAAGTACGAAGCCCTAAAAGGTTGTACATGTTACGAATATCAATGAATGAAGATTACAATACACTCCCGGCCGCAGCTAAAGAAGCACGCAGTATCGAGAACGAATGTGAAGAGTCACAGTTGACTCGAAACGACAGACGGTTGAGATGCATCTGGACCGTCGGAGCAAACGGGATCGGGCAGCTGCACGCAAGAGGATTTTGGCGGGAACAGTTTCGTAACTGTACGCGCCGCACGGTTGGAAATGAATTTGAATAAGGGAATGTACCCCTTAGAGTACATGGCTAGCTAGGACGATTCGAATTCCCCTGTACTCTTATTTATATCGATTGTATTTGCATGTTTTATCATCTCAAGCATTTTACATTCACTCTGCTATTGAGATCAAGGGCCCACCACCACTAGAATAGAAGTGTGCGAACCTTCATGAGGTGATCCTGGTTACAATCATCTATTGATTGCAGCATGGTATGAGAGCGACTCTGGAATCCTTCGCACTGCCACTCCCGAAAATTACGACATTCGGAAAGTGGCGTCCGGCACACGCTCACGTGTAAGAATGGCCGGAGGATGTGGTGGTCAGACCAATCTGACGGCTGAAGCGCAACCCAACCCGGTTGCGACAAGCGAGGAAACGACAACGATCGGCACGGAAGTTCTCGCACAACTTCTTCAGCGACTCACGAGCTTGGAGCAAGGGCTCCAAACATTGCGGAATGGCGACGTGGGAACTTCATCCCAACCCACTCAACCGGCCTCCAACGGCCAAAACTCCGCCCCGCAAGGCTTCTCTCTTAACACAAATGGCCCAACTCCCAAGACTCCCTGTCCCAGTGATGAAGCAATTCTCTCTGCGCAATCAAGGTTTCCGAGCATATCCAAAATAAAGACAAGTGTGTGCTTTGACGGCAGAGACTTTTATACTTGGAGCTTCGAGCTGGAGCTGCTGATGCAAAACGCGCAGATTTTTCACTACTTTGACGGGAGCCATTCGGGACCTACGGAGGACACTGACGACGCACGAACAAAATACTACAACGAATCTCTGATGGCGTACGGGGTTCTTCTGCGGAATATGTCGCCGACGGAGCAATTGAGCATTCGCTCATACAAAACCTCGTCTGCTCCAGCCCTGAACGCCTGGCGTCACCTGAACGGTGCGTATCAACCAAAGGATTCAGTGTCGTCGAGCCGCCTACTCCAGCAGCTATTGGAGACAAAGATGGCACCAGGAGAGAAGGCCAATAGTTATCTGAATCGCTGTCGGAGCTTACGTGATCAAATCGCGAAACTTGGGAGCACAATCTCTAAGGAGATCTTCGTGAACATCGTGCTCCAAGGGCTCGGCCCAGAGTGGCGGCCCTGCAAGGCGCTTCTCCGACAGCAGGGGGTCATCTCGGAGGCCGCCCTTTGCGCCGCCCTTCTCGTCGAACAACGGGATATGGATCAGCAGCGACCAGCGCCACAACGAGAACGAGAACGGCTCGCCTTCTACGCCGACAACAACGAAGAGCGAAGACCGCGACGCCTCTACTGCAAAATTTGCAGAAATTTTGGGCATTTGGCGGATCGATGCAAATACCGATCTCACCCTCGCTAGACCAATCCGAGCAACTGGTCCGGCCGACAAGACGCACGAGGCGACGTGCGTCCAGCCCACGGGTATCAACCCCCACCCGCGCGCAACCTGAACCCAGCGGTTCAACATCAGCAGCAGCAGCCGTCATCGACTGCCCTAGCCCGCAACGTCATGAGCAACATGGCCATGACGGGCGAGTCGCGCCGTCGCCGCGTGCGCTCACCTTCACATGAGCTAGCACCGCATCCCATTAGCGCGTTCTCCAACAACAACCCGTTCACTCCGCGCCGCGACTTCACCGACGACGACGACCAAGACTGGAATCTTCCAGTCCCGCTGCTTGAGAGTCCCCCGCACATACCTGATATGCGGGTGGCGCCACTTGAGTGGCTCTCACGCGAGCAATTTCTGAAGTTCGACACTCCGCACATCGTCACGCCGCGACTGGCGCTGCTCGCACGTGACGACAACAAGCGCTACAACACTTGGTACCTGGACAGCTATTGTGGCCAGCATATGGTGGGCTCCGAGCGTTACATATCCAACGCCGTCGCCACCCCTACAGTCACCCACGTCACCGTGGCCAACAATACACGCCTACGCGCAAGCGCGCAAGGCATTGTCGTGCTCAAGGCACGGGGAAGCCGCACGCACATCACACTCAACGATGTGCTGATCGTCCAGAACCTGCGCTTCAACCTGCTTTCCGCCGCACAGCTCATGGACTGCGGCGTCGACCTCAGCACGGACCGCGAGACACACGACATTTTGCTGCACTACGAATCATGAAACTTCCCCCGCAGGCAGATCGGACGAGCGCACTCCGAAAATGGAGTGTATGTCCTGGACTTCGACATTCCCGACTGCAGCGGTGACTCGCACGAGTTAATCGATCTCGTGGCAATGCGGTTCGAGCACATCCACCGCAGGGATTGGAAACACCCTGACGGTAGACCGTGGATGCCACATCACCCCACCCACGCGAAACGGCGCTGCACGACCCTGACCCAGACGGCATCTGCAGGAACTGTCACACGCCAACGGCGTCAACTAGCGCCATCGCCGGCCGCGGACTTGCCGTCATCGCCGAAGCCGAGCGGCATGCGCCGCCAGAGGAAGGCATGTCACAGCTAGAGCTTGAAGTCACCACGCGGGGCGTGTTCGGCACGCCAGAACACCCTCTCATCGGACCCCCCTCCCAACACCTACAAGGAATGCTGCGCGGTACTGGCGTCGGATCCTTTGATGCGCATGGCATACCGCGACCCTACACCCACGAGAAATTTTTGGAAATTTACCCTCATCAACGCAACCCGTCGAAGAAACTTACCGTGGTGCAGGAAGAAGAACTGGCGCGGTGCGAAGCTGAGGAGCTTCGCCAACAAAGCCTCGCCGAAGCACGCGGGACCTTCGCTTGCGAGGCATGGGGAGCCGAAGCGGAAGAAAGCGCCTCCAATGACGGGGGGTGGGGAAGCGTTGGTGGATGGGGAACAAGTGATACCGGCGGAACCTGGGCCAACGCAAGCGGGGGAGGGGGCGCCGCAACTGGCGCCGACAATAGCGGCTGGGGGACTTTCCGCGAAGAACAAAAGGGGGGAGAGGATGAAGCAGAGGAAACTGAGGCAACACCTGCAGTTGTTCCTCTTGGTCGTCCCCCGCGCCACACTCCACTCGCATTACCTCCTCCTGACAACCCACCGCGCCGCGATCCATGGGACACCATCGACTGGGGCAATGAGCCGTCAACCCTACGTCGCACTGTCTACGGACCCGCTCCCGAACCGCGCGAACCCACCTTCGTACTTGGAACCATCCCTGGGACCAACATTCCTCTCTCTAAGTTCCGCGACAGAGAATTTTTGGCGCTCATGCTGACTACCACCAACGACAAAGACGAAGCAGCGGAAGAAGCACCAGCAGTACCTGCCCTCGTACCTGATGAGGATCCCGAAGAAGCCCGCGCACGCTACATGCGCACTTCTGGCTTTCGCGCTGACGATGCGCTCTGGCATCAGCGTTTCGGACATCCCTCGCGTGCGACACTGAAGAACTGCATCGACGCAGGAGTCTTCGCTCCTGGGGCGCTGCTACGCCCAGACGGTACTGAAGTAAGGGGCACAACACATCCACGCAACTGCACCGTCTGCCCCGAAGCTGCACTGAGCCACCAACCGTTCCCGCTGCTCGAGCCAGGGACGAACCGCTACCCCAAGCTGCACAAGGTGTACAGCGATTTCCTGAACGTGGGGTACTGCACAGTCAACGACGAAATGTACACGCTTACCTTCATCGACGCCGGGACGCGCTATGTGTGGATCGTGAACGTTGAAACACGAGACAGAGCCTATGAGGTGTTCTGCCTCTGGCTTGCGCATGCGCAACGACAATCCGGGGAGAAGCTGAAAATCTGGCAATCTGACGGAGCAGCAAAGTCCAGGAGCAATCAAATGCAGAGTTATCTG